CATTTGTGTGGAAGTGTGAGCCAAGATGTTTGTGTTCATTCCCATCGTTCTCTCGATAAAATGATTTTATAAATAATCAGGCCTTAATTGTGTGATTCCAGTTAATGCAGAGGGGAGTTAATTAACATCTGGAACAAGTTTCCTGGCCTGAGCTATTAGCTGTGTCTGGTGCAGAATTCAAACAACGCATGAAGTGAGGCCTATAGCCAAATGATTTTGTACATAGCTGAAATGAGAAATGACCAAAGATGGATGAGCTATGGCAGCTGTGCCAAGAGAATGTCCATTTTTGGTAAGCAAGTGTAGGCTGTGTCAAGGCGTGAGCGTCGTGCCAGTCCGAGAGGTGCACCGTGCTGCAAAGAATAGGCATCACCTCGTGATTTATCCCTTCTGCTAATCCTCCAGTTCTCCCCTCTTGTCTCCAAAAGTCTCACAGATCAGTGAGTCTTTCACAGCTGAGGGAGGAACAAAGCTGCCAGCATGAAGGCCAGGTCTCCCGTGCAGCCTTGCTCATCCTCACTGTGCTTTATCCCATCTATTTGCAGAGTCAAAGAGGTGGATTTTATTTTGTGTCACTGAGAAGGAGAATACCAAACCATGAACAGTCAAAATCTGAACATCTCTCGTGTATCAAATACAGAAACTCCTATGCAGCCTTTTAAGCAGCACCATCTCTCCTACAGAGATGTCCCGGTCAAAGTGGGGATGGAGTATCTCTGGTTTGGGGTATTGTGAAATCTTTTTAGGTAAACCCAACCCATTCCGATCAACCTGGAAATACATTTTAAGAAAAAAATATTTTTTAGATCTTTTATTCTTCTGCCTTTCGTTTCTGCTTTTAAGCAGAACATAAGTCCACAGAAAATTCAGCAACTTTGTATAATAAATGGCTAAAACTTGAGATTTGCTTACCATTTCTCTCCATTACCTTTAAAACCATGACCCTATGGGAGAAAAGGAGCAAATAACACAAGCAGTGCTGATTCCTGTAATGGCACTCACAGCTGACCCACTCTGTGATCAGCCCCACCAGGAAGCCAGCACTTCATGCATCATCTCCTCCAAGCATGGCAACTGATGTGGGGCACCTTGGCTGCACACAGGACATCACAGGACCATGGAAAGCCCTCAGGTTGGATGGAATTCCTGACAGTATTGCTTTTTGGACCAAAAGTCCCAAACCAGAAGCAGGTATGACAAAAAGCTTTTCACTCTTTAAACAATTCCGTTTCTAGTTTTCGCTATGAAAAGACACTCAACATCCCCAGGAATAGATTTTCACATTTATCTTGTGAATCTCTGCATCTACCTAAGGCGGAAATAATATATCTGAGCTAGTTTAGATAGCTGCTCTCTTATTACCAATGCTAATGTGATAAATTGTCAGCCGAGGATTCTTATCCATATTCCTGTTTGGTAGAAACCTATGTTGTGTTTTATGCACGCAAGTTTCCAGTGCTGCAGCTAGAAAGCATGCAGATGAAGAATGCTTCTCCAAATAATTCTCTCTCTAGTAATCATAAACAATCCTTGCTGAGCCCCAGCAGAAAATTGCAAACTGTGGTGCAAACTGTATTTCCATGAAGTTCTATTCAGTCACATGAAGGACAAGGAGAAAGGAGAACAAGTCAGCAGATGAATATGGGTGAAATGGAGAGCAGTGTAGGAAACGGGGGTGTGCAGTGTGGCACGGCTCCGCTCTTCCTAGAAGTGGTCACCACTGAGTTGAGTGTCAGAGCTCTTCTTTGGGCTGTCAGGTGCCACCACAACCACAGCCCCAGCCGAGTCCACGGGAATCTCCTCCTCATCCCATAGCAGACTTGTGGAGTTACGACCGCTGCCTTAATTGCCACATCCTCTTCTTTCTTTGCAAGACTTATAGATTTGGCACTCCAAAGGAAGCAGTTTTCTGGTGATATAGGATAGCACTGATTAATCCAAGAAGCTGCTGAAGGCCACACCATGCTTCCATTGAAATGAAGATGTCTGGGATAAAACCCTGCACTGCAGCCAGCTCTGGGGCCCACTTCAGACGTAAAACAAGGGAAGGTGTGATGCTGGGCAATGCCCAGTGAGAGGCATGGGATGGCAGCATGCATTCCTAGACATTGAGGTACCCACTGTTACATTAAGCAGCTAAAATGAAGGGTAAATCAGCCCTCTTTGATTTACGGCCAGTCTGCATTCCATGCACAATTTTTGTAATCTGTATCATAATTAAAAAATTGCAGATAACTTTTTAATATCGACATTAAAAAGAAAAAAAGAAATAGGCAAATCATTCACTGTGTTTTTATTACCGATTTACGAGCTCAAATCAAATGGTTTACGGCTTTGTGTTTTGAAAATATACAGCACAAGGAAACCCTAGCCTGGCAAAATTATGCTTTTATGGTAACGACAGCGATGAGTTACAGTTCTTGTAGTTAAACTATAACGGCCACACAGATGCTGGGAAAAAGCTTTCGTACAACGTTTCGCCACCGTAAGCACAGCACCTGCCAGCACAGCCACGGCGCCCAGAAGAGCACGTTGGCAATTCTTTATGAGTATTATTCTCAAGGAGTGTAATTGGACCATAAACATTCTCTTGGGAATAAAACATCAGTCTGCAGGCTTTAAAAAAATACACAGATGGCACGGGCGGATGTTTCATTGTGTCTCTAGCCATTGTGCCCTGCTCCACCCCCCTTGGTGTTGCTCCTGAGATGCTCTCCAGAGGCACCAGCACTGGTTCCCATGGCACATCAAAACCATCTGCTGGACGTAGAGCCACAGAGCAGTCTCTGAGGCACAAAGTTAGCCAAAAGGTTTTCTTCCACAGCAAAGGATGAGGCAGATGATGGCCATGAGCTGTGGCACAGGACAGTCTAACTGTTATGGTGGTGCACGTTACAGATGTGCCAGGCAGGGGTGAGCTGACTGCACTCACTAAGCTAAGAACAGGCAGGAAATGAGGTACATCACATCACTGAAAGAATGACATTGCTTTCATTTACTGTCACTCCCTTTACAGAAAAGTTCCCCTGCTGCACACTCCTGCTAAGTACGTAAAGGTTTTGTTCCAAATGCACAGCCTGACTTTCTCACCAAAGCAAGTGTCATGGAGTATCTAAGAGTTTAATGAAGGGTACCAACAGGCTGTATAAAACAAGAGCAGCTACCCCAGCACTCCTTTTCAGAGGTTATTATAAATCAGAAACCACAATCCTTGTGTCATGGGAATGTCAGAGAGGTAAAACCATCCCCAAGTGAAGAACCACTGCTACAAATCCACGTGGACGTGTGTTCGTCTCGAGGAGGGCTGCAATACTGCAAGAAAACCTTCCCAAGTCCACAGCCCACCAGTTTCTTTATTTAAATCTTTTCAGTCCATCTGGACAGAGTATGAATGAAGATCAGACATTGCATATTTCGTTCTTCATCACTGAACCTGCTCCATCTTACTCAGTATTAAAGCCCTGCTTGTGCCTTGGGCAGCAGTCGCTGACCCTTTGTATTAAGACCCCCACTGCAGTGCATGCTTCATGCATATGCCCACTGATGTATTTTAGAGTGAAGGCAATTTTTTGTTTTGGATTTCTCTGCTTGGCCTTGTCTTCCGCAGAAAGCACCTCCTCTATCTATCTTTTCATGCCATATATTTCTCCCTACTCCCTGCTGTATTGTGTTGTTGCGTTCCACAGAAAAAGCTTTCTTATGTCTATCTTTGCCAAAACCCCAGGAGCCCCTTAAACGTCACTTTCAAGGGCTCTTTATCATTTGGTTGAATTTTCCTCTAATTGTATCCTTTAACTCCAACAGGGGTTTGGGGACTTACTTTGTATGAAGGATGCTATAGAAAACACAGTTGCATTGCTAGTGGTTCTGCCTTTATGTTTCGATCTGCACAACTCTCTGCACACCAATTTGCTTTCTCTTTTCCAATACCCATTTTCTCCCAGGACAGAGCTGTCTTCAAATAATTTAATTATCATGTGGCATACACCTTCTTAGCCCCCTCTGAAACAGCATGTGATGTCTTCAGTTTACATCACTTGTTGGAAAACACTCCAAAGCATTGAAAAACTATTAAATTGTTACAGTATTGGATGCCAACACACAGGGCTATTAGTCTAATTCATCCTTCAGATCAAAGCCCACACAGGCAGCTCTCCTGCCTACAGCTATTTTCCTTTTACTTTCCTGCTTGACAGTAGTCCCTCGTATCCCTCTGTTCTCCTCTCTTTGAACATACACATTTTCCTTTAGTCACGGAAATATAATTTATGTCCATTATACTGCATTATAGACTGCAGATCGGGACGAGCGCAAGGATCGCCTGCTCATCGTACGTCCAGTTTCCAGAAATAAATAAAAAGGAAGGCACCCCTCTTTGCTGGGGGGAGAGAAAAGCCAAAGGGGGAGGACTGGGGGGCTGCAGCGGGACTCTACTCTCAAAGTTGAATTTCCAAGCAGGGACCTTGAAGCACGATTTATTAGCAGCATGCTGTTTGCTTTTGTCACGTTGGGATGTGGCGGGGGAAGCAGTGGCCCCACTCCAACCCAGACCACCCAGTGAGCTGCTGGCTACCGGCAGGCACAGCCCGGTGCAATGGGTCACCCCAACTCTGCAGCTCCAGCCTGGCTTGGAGGTGAGAGCAGCAATAACAGCAACACCCCCTTCACCCCCCCCTGCATCCCCCCAGAATAAAAAATAAAATAATTATATCCTAACAGACAGGCTGTCTGGGACGAGAGAATTGCAAAAACAGTCCCCACCCCAACAGGGAGAGTGTGTGTGTGTGTGTGTGTGTGTGTGTGTGTGTGTGTGTGTGTGTGTG